GGAGTTAGGAAGGGCACTGGGTAGTGGGCGAGTGTTCACAACTACTCCTTCCCATTCTCATAGAAGTCCTTAGGAGGAGCCAGGATGGGAGGGAGATGGGGAAGAGTCCGTGAACCTGGAAGCCTAAAGCACAAAGAATCATCGTAGATACATGCTGAAAAGACACAGAATCCAGCTGCAGACGGCTAGTGCTGTGGATCTGGGCCAAGTCACCTACCCTCTAAGGGCCTCGGTTTCCCTAGCTGTGACATCAGGCTCCTAGTTCTGGCTCTGACCTCTGGTCGTCAAGAGTTTGTGCAGAATTAGCTTTGCCTAGGAGACAGCAGGTCTGCCGTAGCCAGCCTTTCGGAGCAGGCTGATGGGGTGCAGCCCCTGAGCGGCTTTCCCTGCATCCCTCAGCTAAGCCCGCTGTCCAACAGCCCAGGTCGGCCCTGTCGCCCCATCCATCCGGCTGAGGATAATGTTTTTCCCGTCTCCATCCCCCAAGTGTTGGCATTAGCAGCCTCTGCTACCATACCCTGCTAACCAGCAGCTCTTCCAGTCCGGGTTGGTAATAGAGGCTGTAAAGCTCCTGATTCGAGGCCACCCCTAGCTGTATGGCAAAAGGATGGGGACCATAGGCAGGGGGTGGTTTTCAGCCAAGGTCTGTGGAGTGCAGCTGGTTGCTCTTGGCAGGTACCAGAGTGTCGTGAAACCCCACCACAGCAGCCACAGGTCCCTTCTGCTAGTTTTAGGCCAGCTCAGTCTCCACGTTCTTTCTGTCTCTGATGTTGGAGTCACCAGCCTCCAGTGCCACAGCCCCACAGCCTTCCCGACCCCTCTTCCTCTGCTTACCACCGAGGCCAAGTCCCTGCCAGAGTTCACCTGCCCTGCCCCTGGCTCCCTGCCAGCCCCACAACAAGCCATGGATGTTGTGAAAACCCATGCCCCCATCTCCCTTCAATAGAGAGAGCATCCCCGGCCCCAAGCGCCCTGTTCTGAGGACCTCTGCCTGCCGCCGTTTCCCTGTGTGCCCAATACCCTGCCTTCCTCCACCCTGAGCTCTCCACCATCTCGTCTCAGCTTAGCCTCTTCTGCAACTACGCTTTTTCCCACCTGGGTTTCTAACAAATGTCCCTTCTTCCTAGAGCTGATGTCCCGGCTAAATCCTTGTCCCCATTGTCCCCTCTCCCCCTGGACTCTGCTCTCTGTGTATCGTCTTTCACGATGACATTTTGTTCCGTTTGTCATCCCACCAGCTCTAGGATTTCCAGGACCTGTTTATTTGTATCCTTTATATTATTTTTGTATGTCTGCATGCATACTTCAGGTATGTGTGTGCACGTGCGCACAATTACAAGTATATACAGACCAGGAATTGAAGTCAGGTGTCTTCTTCAGTTATTCTCCACACATAGTCTCTTCCTTGCTTCTCTTTCTCTCTCTCTCTGTTTCTTTCCTTTTAGACAGGGCCTCTCACTGACCCTGGAGTTCACGGATTGGCTACACTGGCTAAGTCCCCAGGACCCTTTGTCTCTGTCCCCCAGCACTAGGTCATAGATGCTCACTGCCACACAGAGCTTTTATGTTTGTGCAGCAAGCCCCAGCCCTAAGGGGCCCCATTTGCAACACAATTTTTGGGGGGTTTTTCGAGAAAGGGTTTCTCTGTGTAGTTTTAGTGCCTGTCCGGGATCTCGCTCTGTGGACCAGGCTGGCCTCGAACTCACAGAGATCCGCCTGGCTCTGCCTCCCCAGAGCTGGGATTAAAGGTGTGCGCCACCGCCGCCCGGCTGCAACACCGTTTTTAAATTATTTACTTTACCATACCATGGTACTAGCCTTGCACATGCTAAGCAAGCCCTTACCACCCATTTCTCTTTTTGCTTCCCGAGACAGGGTCTTGCTAAGCTGGCCTGGCTGACCTCAATTTCTCTGTAGGCAAATCTTCAAGTTTTGACCTTTCTGCCTCAGGTTCTTGAGTAGCTCTGGTTACAGGCTGGCAGTAACATCTTTTTGGGGGTGGGTGGGTGGGGACAGCCTCACTATGTAGTCCTGGCCTGTCCGGAACTCATTATATAGATAAGGTTGGTCTGAAACTCATCTCTGCATCCTGAGTGCTGGGATTAAAGGTGTGTACCACCATGGCCAACCCAACTAACACCATTTTAAATGGCTTTATCATCATCCATGAACCACAACATTCATCCTCACAAAAAATGTGTGGTTCGGGGGTTTTAGTCTCAGGGAGTTTTACAGCCATCATCCTAAGTCCAGAAGCTTCCTTTCTCAGTTAAGGTTCCTATTGCTGCGACGAAACACCATGACCAAAAGCAAGTTGGGGAGGAAAGGGTTTATTTGGCTTACACTTCCACATTGTAGTCCATCACAAAAAGAAGTCAGGACAGGAACCTGGATGCAGAGGCCATGGAGGGGTGCTGCTTACTGGCTTGCTCCTCATGGCTTGCTCAGCCTGCTTTTTATAACCCTCAGGACCACCAGCCCAGGGATGACACCACCCAAAATGGGCTGGCACCACCTACCATGGGTTGGATCCTCCCCATCAATCACTAATTAAGAAAATGCCCTACAGCTGGATCTTGTGGAGGCGTTTCTCAATTGCGTTTTGCTCCCTCCTTTCAGATAACTCTATCTGTGTCAAGTTGACATTAAAACTAGCCAGGACAGTTTTTTCACTGCAAAAGAAAACTGCCCATCTGCAGCATCCTCCATCCCCGACCCTGCCTGGTCCCCACTGTGCTTCTTGGTCCATGGACTCCTTTTGTGAAGCATCCATGTACCCACAGCACCCGGTGCTATAGGGAGAGGGTTGTCTTAGGTCCCATTTTTACAGATAAGAAAATAGAGGGGAGGACACAAGGGTGGGGGGCAGACCATGGAAGGACCGGGAAATGAGTGGGATTGGGGTACATGATGGGAAATTCCCATAGACGCAATAAAAATTATATTAAACAAAAAGAAAGTCAAGGGCCAAGTCCATTCAAGACTAACTTTTCCTTTTCCAGCACAATGTCTAGGGTTCCCCCAGAGCTGTCCTGCATGGGGAGGGCAACAAATGGGGACTCCGGTCACACCAGACATGCCACTCTCTCAGGAGGGCCTGAGGGTGAGCTAAGGGCACCTATATGCCCAGTCTGTTGCCAGGACAAAGCGAACACCTCTCTAAGGACACTTGGGCAGGCAGATGAGAACAGGGCCCCAGGAACTCGGACATCAAGAGACCTGAGGATAACAGAAGCCCAGTTCTGCTTAGAAGCGGTTCTGGGGCTTTGTACAACAGACTACACCTTTTCTCTTTCTCCGGGCTCCTGAAAGTTCATGCGTGACAGGCACCCACCCTCAGTACCCAGGGTTGCCATGAGTCACAGTACTGGAAACCACACCTGCCGCCTCAAAGACCCCAAGCCCAGGGAGGCTGGAGCCTGGCGAGGCCACAGCATCAGAAGCTTGGGACACAGCCAGAGTTGGACTCCCTGACCCCTGGAAGCCTCTCTCCTCAACTGTAACAGGATTTAATAATCCTTCCTGGCTCCCGGAGAGCTGGGAGACAGGCCCTGCAGTTACCAGCGCCCTCTGGGCCTCAGACGGGAAACCAGACAGGCTCCTACTCCAACCTGCCGTCCCAGCCCAGGGCGGCTCTCATCTCGGCCTCTTTCATCTTAGGTCTAATTAGCCAGGCGCCCCACCCCAAAGCTCCTTGGACAGGAGTCATCACTCCCAATTTATAGATGGGGAAACTGAGGCACCTAGAGGGAAGTGGTTTAGAGCTGTCGCCTGTGAGTCAGCTATGGAGCCAGAGCCCAGAGGAGGCCCGACAAGGTCTTCTAGCTGGACCTGCCCCCCCCCTCCCATCTCCATCCCCACTCTCCTATCCTTGTTCTGGGGACCCAGGCACCCTTCTTTTTAGGATTCTACCTCACCGTGTGTATGTGTGTGTGTGTGTGTGTGTGTGTGTGTGTGTGTGTGTGTAGTGTAGCGAGGGGCTTGTGCAGCCAAGGGGACTCAGGAGTTTCATCTTCACTGAAGCTAGCAGGAGGCTTGAGGACAGTGGGCGGCGAGATTTGGACGCCAGTAGTTCTGTGCCCTGGAAACTAGAGTCCAATGGGTACCCAGAGCCCGGCTCTCCCGAGCCACAGGCCCAGTTCCCGAGGCGCAGCCTGGATCCAGCCCTCTGGACTCCAGTACGGAGTGCGCCCCTTGGTCCTAGGTCTCCGGCAGTCCAGTCTCTCTACTCAAGCTTTGGTTTCTCAGTACACGTTTAGTCGTGCTGCGAGCTGAGTGACCCTGCAGGCCCCACCAACACGCACATCCCAAGTCCTGGTCCCGTTGTTTTTCGGCTTCGCGGCGGCTTCAGGCCGGCCGGTCCAGCCCGCTGTGACTCGAGCCTGCCCGAGCCCTATTGGCAATCGACGCGGCTCCGGACAAAGGTCAGCGGCTACCATCCGGCTGCGACCCTGGCGCCGGCTTCTCGCCCCCAAGCAAGAGCGGGGTGTCTCCCCCGCGCCCGGTCAGCGTTGAGGACGCCAAGCCAAGCCCTGCGGCGCCGGTCCGACCGGTCCCACCGCCGCGGGCGCCTTGCTCTTCCTGCTCTGCCCTGGGCGTGCGCCCCGCGCGCCCCCCAGCGGCTGCTCAGAGACTCGCACGCCAAGAGCCGGGGCCGTAGCGCGCCGGGCCGGGTTGCCGTGCGGGGTGGCCGGGGGGGACGCGCTGGCCGCCTTCCCGATCTGCCCGAGCCGCTGTTCGGCTCCCGGGCCTGGGAACGCACCCCGCCGTCGCGGGAGCGGGCCGGGAGCTCGGCAACACGGAACTCCGCCTCTGCCCGTGCCTGCGGCGGTTTCGGGGCAGGGGGCCTGCAGAGCGAGACAGTTACTCAGACCTGGCGAAACCGGCGTGTCGGCACCTGCGGACCTGGCGGGCGTGGCAGGCGGAGGCTCCGTTACGCCCCGCCTCTGG